ACTTGGCATATGGCCTTTTACGCGAACTGGCTCCCTCTGCACAGAGGGCTGCCGTGACCTTTGCTTCGACAATGGGATCTTGGATCGCCTGCGAGCTGCGCTCGACCTGTCACAGCTGACCTGTGTGCTCGGCACCACAGTTGGTATCACCAGCACACACACACACACACTCAGACACAGAAGCATGCATGGGCAATTGAAGCTTTCCGCCGGCAGCTGCCAGTAACAAGGTCGCCCAAGCAGCGCAGGTCTCCAGAGTTGGTGCACATGACGTTGTTGACAACGCAGAATACCTGAATGATCCTAGTCCTCCAGGCAACTGCATGATCCGGTGACCCTGCTCGGTTGCATGTATCGGATCAATCAAATCTGGATCCTTCGCTTGCTGAGCTCAACCTGTACGAGCTGGCTACCAGAGTGTTAGCGGCATGGCACCACACTTGGTCTCGCCAGGTCCGCAAACGAGCACGTGCTGGGAGCCAAGGTTACCGCCAGCACGCCGGCAACCTTGTGCACCCCAACCAGTGCACGGTACAAGAGTCGGAGCGCATGCAAGCAGAGATTGCCGAACGGCTTCATGCATGATACTTTCCATGTGAGCAGTGCCATGATATTTTAGATCAACTGTGCAATCGTTGAGATACACCCTTGCCGGCCCACTTTAGACAGGAAGGCCGACAACCGAAACATGTAACGGATCTTCACACATGTCTTCCGACCCACCCCCTTGCGAATTCATTGAAATAGCAGCTTTACCCCAACTCCGATGCCAAGGTGTGTAGCTGATGCGGCTTGGCAAATCATACATTGACCAGTGTCATACATTGTCACCTACACTGAGCATTCAACTACGCCACTGCCGACAAGGCAAGGATGACAGTTGCAATCTCTGTGCTTGCACCTGTTCATGGCTACGCCAAGAGTGCGAGGAGAAATCTCATTTTTGAGGTTCTCTCGGGAAACGTCTAAAATTCACGGAGGAGGCGCCGGATGCAGTTGGAAACGCAGCCTCCTCCTCCTCCGGGATGTCGCTTCATGATACAGTCTCTTGCTGTCTGATTCTGAAATGGCTCGCACCCTGTCAATGGCATGAAGCATCTCGTGACCCCGGGACGGAGACGTCTTCTGAATGCGGGGCAAGACGAATGCCAAGTCTGAAACCAAGAATGCAAGACTGCACTGGGAAAAAGCAACGAATGTGACAGCAAGTCATTCCGTGCGTCGGTTCAGGCACAGAGCAAGCCCACTGGAAAATGCCGAGACACCCGCCTTCGTAAAGCAGCCGGAGAGCTCCTCCTTCTTGAACTGTCTGAGCCTAGACTGCAGTCTCTGCAGTCTCGCCAGCTGCCTCCTCAAAGGGCTCTGATGCTTCCAAACAGCCCGAAACCCCTCGATCAGACTCGTAACGTCTCCTGCGGCTTCTCGGCTTCCCCCATCTCGGCCGCAATCTCCGCCGCGCGCTCCTCGCGTAGCTCCTTGGAGACCACCTGCAGAGCGGAGCGGGGGGGACCAGAGGGGAGGAAGAGGGCACGTTTTCACAGAGTCAAGCGCATGTGTTTACCCATGTTTACCCCTTCTGGTGCCTTGTAGCAGCCGCCCATCCACCACCAAGCAATGAAGCCGGCCACGGCACCAAGGGCCAGCAGCGTGACGACGATGCCGCCGGCAATGCTGGCTCCATAAAGCAATGAGATGGCCAGGGACACACCAGGCAAAGCCACAAACATCACCAGGATGTAAATCAGGGGCACCAGGCGCCAGTAGGAGGCATAGAAGCCCAGCAGGCAGGCGGCCTTGATGGGGATTCGGCGCATGAAAGGTACTGGAAACCAAATCAGGATACCGAAAATGTTGAAGAGCAAATGGACGAAGGCGATCTGCAAGCTGTCTGGCTTCATGACCGCGATGGCGGCCAACATTGAGGTAAATGTCGTACCGATGTTGGCCCCGAGAGTCATCGGGAACATTTTGTGCACGGGTAGCACGCCAACCCCGCAGAGCGGAGTCAGGGTGGAAGTCGTCACAGAGCTGGACTGCACGATGAACGTGATGCCAAGGCCAACCAGGATTGCCACATAGTCGTTCATGTTCGTGGCACGCATGATCACCTTCTTTGCCGTGCCCATGATGAGACTGTGCAGGAGCTTAACCAAACAGAACAGGGTGCCGGTGACGATGATCAGCGAGAAGATCAACCCCACGATGCCGCCGGCAACATCACCCATGCCAGAAAAGGCACCTTCGTCCAAGATAGTGCCACCCTCGATGGACTGCACATAGAACTTGTCAGCTTCCAAGTAGCACGTGTCCGAACCGCAGCCGTGGTTCAAGAGCGGGAAGTAGGTGCTGCACTCTGCCAGGGCGGCATAGGCGTCCTTGTCGACCTTCTTCCAGTTCTTGCTCATGGACGAGGAAACGCAGAAGTAGTTGCTGCAGTCCATGGTGCTCGGGCAGCTTCCCGTTAGGCCAGTCGGCATGGCTTGGGCCTTGGGTGCACCCATAGAAAGCGACTTCGTCACATCCTTGTTCGGGTCCACAAAAACATCGGTCAAAGGGGAAACGATGAATTTGGTCGGAGAAGTAAATGTGACATCTGCTTCCGGTCCGACAACGGCCTCTGTGATGCCCTTTGAGATGTAATACAAGATCCCACCATCCCCGGTAATGGCTCCGATGATGACCTCCTCTGGCAGCATGACGAGGACACTGAGGAAGTTGAACATGTCATGAACCTCGGGGGGCCGGGGCAGGTGAAGCTGCTCTTCACTGTCACAGCACCGGAATACACCAAAGGAAAAAGGGAGTCATGATACTGCTGGATGACCGAGGAACTGTGGCACCGGAAAAGGCACGCTCAAGCTCAAGACGCTCACCGGCATGTGCCATGGACACAATCGTGTTTGTCACGGATGTGCCGATGTTGGCACCCATTATGATGGGAATCGCGTACTTCACGGAAACCTGACCGGCACCAACCAAGCCAACCACGATCGAGGTGCTCGTGGAGGAAGACTGAACCAGGACCGTCGCCAAGATGCCGACCATCAAACCCGTAATGGGATTGTCCACAATAGTAAACAGGTCACCAGCACCTTTGCCTCCCAGTACAAGGAAGGAGCTGCCCATCATGTCCAATCCCATCAAGAAGAAGTAGATCGAGGCAAGCACGCCGATAATTTTGAGGGTCGTGTAGAGGATGAACTCCCCCTGGCTCTGGGGCTTCGCAGCATCAGCCATGGTGGCAAGAGCTGTTGTGCTGGGAGGCGCTGGCTTTCCACAGTTTGATCCGAATATCCTGCGCCGCCCGCGTTTGCCTTGCTGCCTGGCTCTGGCAGGAGGACCGCCAAGCTGCTAAGAGGCGAACGATGCACAAGCTGCAAAGATGCAAGTTGCGTGCGAAGTGCAGATGCAGGTTCTCTCTACACACTCTCATCCCCTGTACAGGATCAGGCACGAGAACGAGAGCGAGACCCGCAAGCCCTGCCGTTGGCTAGCTGTTGGCTATGGCTATGGCGCTGAACCATTTGCATACCTCACATGTCGGCGAACATGTCGGGGTCCTCCAAGTCAAAACCCTTATTGCGCAAGGCCTTATCCAAAGACCCCCACTTGGCATATGGCCTTTTACGCGAACTGGCTCCCTCTGCACAGAGGGCTGGCGCCGTGACCTGTGCTTCGAGAATCGGATCTTGGATCGCTTGTGAGCTGTGCTCAAGACCTGTCACAGCTGACCTGTGTGCTCGGCACCACAGTTGGTATCACCAGCACACGCACACTCAGACACAGAAGCATGCATGGGCAATTGAAGCTTTCCGGCGGCAGCTGCCAGTAACAAGGTCGCCCAAGCAACGCAGGTCTCCAGAGTTGGTGCACATGACGTTGTTGACAACGCAGAATACCTGAATGATCCTAGTCCTCCAGGCAACTGCATGATCCGGTGACCTTGCTCGGATGCATGTATCGGATCAATCAAATCTGGATCCTTCGCTTGCTGAGCTCAACCCGTACGAGCTGGCTCCCAGCGTGTTAGCGGCATGGCACCACACTTGGTCTCGCCAGGTCCGCAAACGAGCACGTGCTGGGAGCCAAGGTTACCGCCAGCACGCCGGCAACCTTGTGCACCCCAACCAGTGCACGGTACAAGAGTCGGAGCGCATGCAAGCAGAGATTGCCGAACGGCTTCATGCATGATACTTTCCATGTGAGCAGTGCCATGATATTTTAGATCAACTGTGCAATCGTTGAGATACACCCTTGCCGGCCCACTTTAGACAGGAAGGCCGACAACCGAAACATGTAACGGATCTTCACACATGTCTTCCGACCCACCCCCTTGCGAATTCATTGAAATAGCAGCTTTACCCCAACTCCGATGCCAAGGTGTGTAGCTGATGCGGCTTGGCAAATCATACATTGACCAGTGTCATACATTGTCACCTACACTGAGCATTCAACTACGCCACTGCCGACAAGGCAAGGATGACAGTTGCAATCTCTGTGCTTGCACCTGTTCATGGCTACGCCAAGAGTGCGAGGAGAAATCTCATTTTTGAGGTTCTCTCGGGAAACGTCTAAAATTCACGGAGGAGGCGCCGGATGCAGTTGGAAACGCAGCCTCCTCCTCCTCCGGGATGTCGCTTCATGATACAGTCTCTTGCTGTCTGATTCTGAAATGGCTCGCACCCTGTCAATGGCATGAAGCATCTCGTGACCCCGGGACGGAGACGTCTTCTGAATGCGGGGCAAGACGAATGCCAAGTCTGAAACCAAGAATGCAAGACTGCACTGGGAAAAAGCAACGAATGTGACAGCAAGTCATTCCGTGCGTCGGTTCAGGCACAGAGCAAGCCCACTGGAAAATGCCGAGACACCCGCCTTCGTAAAGCAGCCGGAGAGCTCCTCCTTCTTGAACTGTCTGAGCCTAGACTGCAGTCTCTGCAGTCTCGCCAGCTGCCTCCTCAAAGGGCTCTGATGCTTCCAAACAGCCCGAAACCCCTCGATCAGACTCGTAACGTCTCCTGCGGCTTCTCGGCTTCCCCCATCTCGGCCGCAATCTCCGCCGCGCGCTCCTCGCGTAGCTCCTTGGAGACCACCTGCAGAGCGGAGCGGGGGGGACCAGAGGGGAGGAAGAGGGCACGTTTTCACAGAGTCAAGCGCATGTGTTTACCCATGTTTACCCCTTCTGGTGCCTTGTAGCAGCCGCCCATCCACCACCAAGCAATGAAGCCGGCCACGGCACCAAGGGCCAGCAGCGTGACGACGATGCCGCCGGCAATGCTGGCTCCATAAAGCAATGAGATGGCCAGGGACACACCAGGCAAAGCCACAAACATCACCAGGATGTAAATCAGGGGCACCAGGCGCCAGTAGGAGGCATAGAAGCCCAGCAGGCAGGCGGCCTTGATGGGGATTCGGCGCATGAAAGGTACTGGAAACCAAATCAGGATACCGAAAATGTTGAAGAGCAAATGGACGAAGGCGATCTGCAAGCTGTCTGGCTTCATGACCGCGATGGCGGCCAACATTGAGGTAAATGTCGTACCGATGTTGGCCCCGAGAGTCATCGGGAACATTTTGTGCACGGGTAGCACGCCAACCCCGCAGAGCGGAGTCAGGGTGGAAGTCGTCACAGAGCTGGACTGCACGATGAACGTGATGCCAAGGCCAACCAGGATTGCCACATAGTCGTTCATGTTCGTGGCACGCATGATCACCTTCTTTGCCGTGCCCATGATGAGACTGTGCAGGAGCTTAACCAAACAGAACAGGGTGCCGGTGACGATGATCAGCGAGAAGATCAACCCCACGATGCCGCCGGCAACATCACCCATGCCAGAAAAGGCACCTTCGTCCAAGATAGTGCCACCCTCGATGGACTGCACATAGAACTTGTCAGCTTCCAAGTAGCACGTGTCCGAACCGCAGCCGTGTTTCAAGAGCGGGAAGTAGGTGCTGCACTCTGCCAGGGCGGCATAGGCGTCCTTGTCGACCTTCTTCCAGTTCTTGCTCATGGACGAGGAAACGCAGAAGTAGTTGCTGCAGTCCATGGTGCTCGGGCAGCTTCCCGTTAGGCCAGTCGGCATGGCTTGGGCCTTGGGTGCACCCATAGAAAGCGACTTCGTCACATCCTTGTTCGGGTCCACAAAAACATCGGTCAAAGGGGAAACGATGAATTTGGTCGGAGAAGTAAATGTGACATCTGCTTCCGGTCCGACAACGGCCTCTGTGATGCCCTTTGAGATGTAATACAAGATCCCACCATCCCCGGTAATGGCTCCGATGATGACCTCCTCTGGCAGCATGACGAGGACACTGAGGAAGTTGAACATGTCATGAACCTCGGGGGGCCGGGGCAGGTGAAGCTGCTCTTCACTGTCACAGCATCGGAATACACCAAAGGAAAAAGGGAGGCATGATACTGCTGGATGACCGAGGAACTGTGGCACCGGAAAAGGCACGCTCAAGCTCAAGACGCTCACCGGCATGTGCCATGGACACAATGGTGTTTGTCACGGATGTGCCGATGTTGGCACCCATTATGATGGGAATCGCGTACTTCACGGAAACCTGGCCGGCACCAACCAAGCCAACCACGATCGAGGTGCTCGTGGAGGAAGACTGAACCAGGACCGTCGCCAAGATGCCGACCATCAAACCCGTAATGGGATTGTCCACAATAGTAAACAGGTCACCAGCACCTTTGCCTCCCAGTACAAGGAAGGAGCTGCCCATCATGTCCAATCCCATCAAGAAGAAGTAGATCGAGGCAAGCACGCCGATAATTTTGAGGGTCGTGTAGAGGATGAACTCCCCCTGGCTCTGGGGCTTCGCGGCATCAGCCATGGTGGCAAGAGCTGTTGTGCTGGGAGGCGCTGGCTTTCCACAGTTTGATCCGAAATATCCTGCGCCGCCCGCGTTTGCCTTGCTGCCTGGCTCTGGCAGGAGGACCGCCAAGCTGCTAAGAGGCGAACCATGCACAAGCTGCAAAGATGCAAGTTGCGTGCGAAGTGCAGATGCAGGTTCTCTCTACACACTCTCATCCCCTGTACAGGATCAGGCACGAGAACGAGAGCGAGACCCGCAAGCCCTGCCGTTGGCTAGCTGTTGGCTATGGCTATGGCGCTGAACCATTTGCATACCTCACATGTCGGCGAACATGTCGAGGTCCTCCAAGTCAAAACCCTTATTGCGCAAGGCCTTATCCAAAGACCCCCACTTGGCATATGGCCTTTTACGCGAACTGGCTCCCTCTGCACAGAGGGCTGGCGCCGTGACCTATGCTTCGAGAATCGGATCTTGGATCGCTTGTGAGCTGTGCTCAAGACCTGTCACAGCTGACCTGTGTGCTCGGCACCACAGTTGGTATCACCAGCACACACACACACACTCAGACACAGAAGCATGCATGGGCAATTGAAGCTTTCCGCCGGCAGCTGCCAGTAACAAGGTCGCCCAAGCAGCGCAGGTCTCCAGAGTTGGCCCACATGACGTTGTTGACAACGCAGAATACCTGAATGGTCCTAGTCCTCCAGGCAACTGCATGATCCGGTGACCTTGCTTGGTTGCATGTATCGGATCAATCAAATCTGGATCCTTCGCTTGCTGAGCTCAACCTGTACGAGCTGGCTACCAGAGTGTTAGCGGCATGGCACCACACTTGGTCTCGCCAGGTCCGCAAACGAGCACGTGCTGGGAGCCAAGGTTACCGCCAGCACGCCGGCAACCTTGTGCACCCCAACCAGTGCACGGTACAAGAGTCGGAGCGCATGAAGCAGAGATTGCCGAACGGCTTCATGCATGATACTTTCCATGTGAGCATGGCTGTGCAATCGTTGAGATACACCCTTGCCGGCCCACTTTAGACAGGAAGGCCGACAACCGAAACATGTAACGGATCTTCACACATGTCTTCCGACCCACCCCCTTGCGAATTCATTGAAATAGCAGCTTTACCCCAACTCCGATGCCAAGGTGTGTAGCTGATGCGGCTTGGCAAATCATACATTGACCAGTGTCATACATTGTCACCTACACTGAGCATTCAACTACGCCACTGCCGACAAGGCAAGGATGACAGTTGCAATCTCTGTGCTTGCACCTGTTCGTGACTACGCCAAGAGTCCGAGGAGAAATCTCATTTTTGAGGTTCTCTCGGGAAACGTCTAAAATTCACGGAGGAGGCGCCGGATGCAGTTGGAAACGCAGCCTCCTCCTCCGGGATGTCGCTTCATGATACAGTCTCTTGCTGTCTGGTTCTGAAATGGCTCGCACCCTGTTCAATGGCATGAAGCATGTCGTGACCCCGGGACGGAGACTTGTTCTGAACGCGGGGCAAGACGAATGCCAAGTCTGAAACCAAGAATGCAAGACTGCACTGGGAAAAAGCAACGAATGTGACAGCAAGTGCGTCCGTGCGTCGGTTCAGGCACAGAGCAAGCCCACTGGAAAATGCCGAGACACCCGCCTTCGTAAAGCAGCCGGAGAGCTCCTCCTTCTTGAACTGTCTGAGCCTAGACTGCAGTCTCTGCAGTCTCGCCAGCTGCCTCCTCAAAGGGCTCTGATGCTTCCAAACAGCCCGAAACCCCTCGATCAGACTCGTAACGTCTCCTGCGGCTTCTCGGCTTCCCCCATCTCGGCCGCAATCTCCGCCGCGCGCTCCTCGCGTAGCTCCTTGGAGACCACCTGCAGAGCGGAGCGGGGGGGACCAGAGGGGAGGAAGAGGGCACGTTTTCACAGAGTCAAGCGCATGTGTTTACCCATGTTTACCCCTTCTGGTGCCTTGTAGCAGCCGCCCATCCACCACCAAGCAATGAAGCCGGCCACGGCACCAAGGGCCAGCAGCGTGACGACGATGCCGCCGGCAATGCTGGCTCCATAAAGCAATGAGATGGCCAGGGACACACCAGGCAAAGCCACAAACATCACCAGGATGTAAATCAGGGGCACCAGGCGCCAGTAGGAGGCATAGAAGCCCAGCAGGCAGGCGGCCTTGATGGGGATTCGGCGCATGAAAGGTACTGGAAACCAAATCAGGATACCGAAAATGTTGAAGAGCAAATGGACGAAGGCGATCTGCAAGCTGTCTGGCTTCATGACCGCGATGGCGGCCAACATTGAGGTAAATGTCGTACCGATGTTGGCCCCGAGAGTCATCGGGAACATTTTGTGCACGGGTAGCACGCCAACCCCGCAGAGCGGAGTCAGGGTGGAAGTCGTCACAGAGCTGGACTGCACGATGAACGTGATGCCAAGGCCAACCAGGATTGCCACATAGTCGTTCATGTTCGTGGCACGCATGATCACCTTCTTTGCCGTGCCCATGATGAGACTGTGCAGGAGCTTCACCAAACAGAACAGGGTGCCGGTGACGATGATCAGCGAGAAGATCAACCCCACGATGCCGCCGGCAACATCACCCATGCCAGAAAAGGCACCTTCGTCCAAGATAGTGCCACCCTCGATGGACTGCACATAGAACTTGTCAGCTTCCAAGTAGCACGTGTCCGAACCGCAGCCGTGGTTCAAGAGCGGGAAGTAGGTGCTGCACTCTGCCAGGGCGGCATAGGCGTCCTTGTCGACCTTCTTCCAGTTCTTGCTCATGGACGAGGAAACGCAGAAGTAGTTGCTGCAGTCCATGGTGCTCGGGCAGCTTCCCGTTAGGCCAGTCGGCATGGCTTGGGCCTTGGGTGCACCCATAGAAAGCGACTTCGTCACATCCTTGTTCGGGTCCACAAAAACATCGGTCAAAGGGGAAACGATGAATTTGGTCGGAGAAGTAAATGTGACATCTGCTTCCGGTCCGACAACGGCCTCTGTGATGCCCTTTGAGATGTAATACAAGATCCCACCATCCCCGGTAATGGCTCCGATGATGACCTCCTCTGGCAGCATGACGAGGACACTGAGGAAGTTGAACATGTCATGAACCTCGGGGGGCCAGGGCAGGTGAAGCTGCTCTTCACTGTCACAGCATCGGAATACATCAAAGGAAAAAGGGAGGCATGATACTGCTGGATGACCGAGGAACTGTGGCACCGGAAAAGGCACGCTCAAGCTCAAGACGCTCACCGGCATGTGCCATGGACACAATGGTGTTTGTCACGGATGTGCCGATGTTGGCACCCATTATGATGGGAATCGCGTACTTCACGGAAACCTGGCCGGCACCAACCAAGCCAACCACGATCGAGGTGCTCGTGGAGGAAGACTGAACCAGGACCGTCGCCAAGATGCCGACCATCAAACCCGTAATGGGATTGTCCACAATAGTAAACAGGTCACCAGCACCTTTGCCTCCCAGCACAAGGAAGGAGCTGCCCATCATGTCCAATCCCATCAAGAAGAAGTAGATCGAGGCAAGCACGCCGATAATTTTGAGGGTCGTGTAGAGGATGAACTCCCCCTGGCTCTGGGGCTTCGCGGCATCAGCCATGGTGGCAAGAGCTGTTGTGCTGGGAGGCGCTGGCTTTCCACAGTTTGATCCGAAATATCCTGCGCCGCCCGCGTTTGCCTTACTGCCTGGGTCTGGCAGGAGGACCGCCAAGCTGCTAAGAGGCGAACCATGCACAAGCTGCAAAGATGCAAGTTGCGTGCGAAGTGCAGATGCAGGTTCTCTCCACACACTCTCATCCCCTGTACAGGATCAGGCACGAGAACAAGAGCGAGACTCGCAAGCCCTGCTGTTGGCTATGGCTATGGCGGTGAACCATTAGCATACCTCACATGTCGGCGAACATGTCGAGGTCCTCCAAGTCAAAACTTTGCAAAACTGAACATGGAGCATTCGCATAGCATCTCATCTGGAACGGAGGTTCCCATGCCATGTTATGGTATGTCGTTGTCCAGATCCGCTGCTGACGGTTCTGCTTTGTCCGCCGGCGCGGCTGGCAAGGCCTTGCAGCGCCAGCGCTACTTCAAGAAATCACACTGCGGCTGATTACTGTGTCTGCACGGCTGCTCTTCGTTCTGGGACAGGAACGCAATCTTCCGAAGCCAGATCCGCAGCCTGGATGATGCAAAAAATGGGTGTTTAACTTCGTTCTAAGGCGTCTCTTGCTCTTGTGCTTACAAAACTCTTGCTTGCACAAGTTCGTGCGTGAGGGCAATGAAGTCCCTGATCGCGCGACCAAAGTGCAAGTTCTCTTCTCGTCTTCCTTGAAGGGGAAAGAGGCCAGCGCATTAAGCCATTAAGCGCCTCCTCCTCCTCTGTTACGAATATTTTTTTCAGGAAGAAGACTTGTGGGACCATTTCGACCGGTCTGCACGCTGCGAAAAAAGTTCCTATGGCGTCCAAGATAAGGCCCCCTAGCCCTGCAAACCAACATCTGCCCCAGGGGTGCATTCCGTCACCACTCTGTTCAGCGTGGCTGTGGCACTCGGCCACCCGTCTGCTGGTATCCAGCGATAAACGGTAATCATGATCATCGACTCGTCAAGCACAAGGGTGTTCGAGCACGAATAAACCAAGGTCCACAATGCCGCTGTTGAGTGCATGTACCTCGACAGACAGGCAAACTAATTTTCAAGACTGGCCTGTGGCTCGCTGTGAAGACCTTCGCATGCTGGCATTTGCACAGTCATCGTCGCCAAAAGCCGCATTCAGGACAACTTAATAATCGAACGACTTTGCTTTGCTTAGGGATAAGAGCAGCCCGCGCTGGCGTCCGTCCAACATATTGTTGGGATGGGCTCTGCTGTAGAAGGAGTGATGAGCAATTCGTCCCCGTGTGGAGTAATCGAACGACTCTGTGTCTTCTTCCGCCGGGCATGTGTCTCTCTCTCTCTCTCTCGCTCCCTCGCTCCTTCCCTTGTTCTGCAGGCCCTGCCACACTGTTGTTCAGTGGCAGACGTTGAGGCTTGGGCTGCTCAAAGGCTCTCAAGAGTCTTTGCATGCCGCTGACAAGAAGGCCTCTAGGGCGGAGTAAGATGCACACATAAGCCGGATTGGCTTAGATGTTTCGTCTCGCCGTTGTGTCGGTGGTTGCTTGTTTCCAAACACCGGCAACAATTTCAGCAGACCTTAGACGGTCATTACGTTTTTCCCATCCACTTGCAACGCCTCTGTTTGCTCTGCTTAGGGGTAAAAAGAGCTGGCAGTCCCAGCTCCCCGCTCCAGAGAGCAACCATCCAGCATTTTACGTGGACGCCCTCCCCTGTGTATGTCCGGCTTGTGGGGCTTCGTGCGAGCGAGCGGTAAGAACATGCTTTATTTTTGATCCCACAAGCCGTCTGCCTTCTGCGGGGACACCATTTTGAGGCTCAGGAGTTGGGCGGGTACCCCTCACACTTGAACGGCTGTAGTGCATCGGTATGGAAACATATGCCGTTTTTCATACGACTATTTGGGCTATGCTCGGATCACCGGCTTCCCCAGCGGTTGAAATGTTTGTACACCTCAACGAAAAACCTGTGCAGCCTTCACTATCGTCACCGGTGTCACTTTTTCGCCTTGGCCTTGTCCATCTTGAAGGCCGTCTTGAGATCTCTCTCTGTCTCACACTCAATTTTACATTGAGACCGCCACAACTAAACGGACATTGTTCCACAGCAATACAGCTTTTTTGCAGGCAACTTCTTGTCAGTGACACAACTCCATGTCATCTTTGCACGTAACGAACCCGGCAGCAGGACGGAGGCCTCCTCATCCTCATCGAGCACAAAGGACCCGACCTGACCTTCCAGCTCCTCCTCCTCCTCTTCGGGCTGGGCGCTGACCTGGTACAGACATGTACACATGTTCAGCACCTACTGAGGTTTGCGAATTTAGGCAAGCAAAGGCTGAAGGAAGTGAAGCCAGGTCATCAGTGCTCTAGGCGATGTGTTTCTAGGTTCTAGAGCGGACCGACCAGGTCCGAAACACGCAGAACCCCAATGTGCACCGCACCTGTCTGGGAAAGCTCGTGTACGGATTTTCTTGCAGTAGTGATTGGTGCAAGGGTCTAAAGCTCTGAAGCACACGAAGCGATAGGAAAGAAGGCCTGCCAGCACTTCGACCCTGCTTTGATGTTGATACCGTTGGGTATGTTTGCAGCTGGCGGCGTGGCATCGCATTGATGAGTAATCCGTGTTGGGTTTGGGCTTCCCGGATATGCTCTCGGCACCAATGGCCCGCCCGAAGTTCACGACAACTCGGCATCAGAGTCAGGTCACCATCCGTCACTAAAACTGGCCGCTGGATTCCTCCCTTTTTCAAACAATTAACATTTGTCAGCAGAAAATGAGAGGGAAGGTTCTGAAGCAGTGCTAATCACGGCAACTCGCACCCTGGCGAGCAGAGCCGAGAAGTGGCCTGCTTTCAAGCGCAAACAATGCCGGGGGAGCCGAAGACGAACTTGGAGCCGGAGGAGGCCCTTCGCAGCCCAGAACCTGAGGGCCAAACCCATCACCGCCACTCTCGCAACAGACAACTCCCAAGTTTCCTTGTCTCGGATCTGGGGCGGTGGCAGGCGTGGCGGGCTCTGCTTCTTCTGGCCTGCGCCACCACGATCTTTAATTGACATCCGTTATCATCCTTTGCATCTCGGTGAAGCCCATGCAACTAGCACCATTCCCTGCCCGGACAACTAACACCATTCCCTACTGCTCTGTCTAGCAGCGTTGCAAACAGCCAAACTCATGAGCCAATTTATCCTCCCATGTCTCCTGACATCCCTTGAGACCCACTCTAGGGAGCATCTCATCTCCAGTCTCACGAGTCCTCAAGCACAGCACGGTCAAGCATGGCTGCTAGGATCTTCGGACCCGAACCGTCCTGGCAACGACCTTGTCAACAGTATATGCAGCTCCCAGCTCAACTATTGCCTAGCCTCCCGGCTTTGAGTCTGTAACACTGAAGAATGTCGTAAAACAGGTCAGCCTTTGTTTTCAACAAAGAACGCTGCAACAAGCGAGCAAAGAGCAAACATCACACCTGAGCCTCGAGCCAAGTAGAAATCTCCCCTAAACCCCAACCGGACCTAAACCCTGAGTCGAGCTCTGGGCTGGCAAGCTTGGATCTATCTCAAACGTGTCAGTGCGACAATCGGAGATCATCGTCGTCGTCATCTCCATCCGCCTGAGCGATGCCACAACAACCGTACACCACAGTTTGCCAGATCTTGATTGCAGGCATCCTTTGCCACAAATACAACACGGAAATTGTTAGCTGCTCCGACGACACCTTTGACTTAAACATATCTGGCAACCGATACCATGACACCTCATATCAATATTGCTCGCTGGGAGCCGATCTAGATGAGCACCAGTATACCATGCAGATAAGACTCATGCTGAGTCTGAGGATGATGACAGCCACGCCAATGCTCCTTCCTAAACAAACAAACCCTGAGGCTACACGGTGCATGATTCCAAACAGAAGGTTTCTGCAAGCAAGCTGGTGCTAGACTTTGCAGAGGCAGTCCGCAGCTATCAAGCTTACAGACAAGCCATTCTAAGGTGAGATGACGTGCGGCACCCCATGGTGTGCAGTCAGCTCAGTTTCACCTGGACTACTTATAGCGGACGACCGTGATTGTTCCCCATGGATGTTTGATCTGCGTAGCTTCTCTAAAGTGGACTTTGGTTCTTTGGTTCCCGGCAGAGCCGGCCGGAGCTGCAGAGGCCATGACAGGAACCTGAGAGCCGCACAGAAAGGTCTACCACGGCTCAACGAGAGGACAGGAACGTACTGGGACTTCCCGTTTTGCCAAGCTTCTGGAGGCAGAGTCTTCTTTCGCTTCTTCACGGGCGGCGGTGGCATCTCACCGGGAACAGAACGAATCTTTGTTTACTGCAGTTCCGCACCTGTCACACCATGAGTATCTGCCTCCGCACTTTGCGAAGTCTGACCACCTTCCGTCGAAGGCACGTCGAGGAGATCTGCCTCGCTTCTTCAGCTCTAGTGCGCGAGTTTGGCTTCGGCTCTCCCGCACACAAACTCGAGGAGAGTCATCCTGCCATGCTTGCCTCATGCACAACTCTTTCCAAATTTCGCGCTGCGACGAACCTCAAATTCTCCACGGCAAGTAGAAGGAAAGCTGAGTGCACACATTGGTATGACAAGGCCAAGGCCGTAGGTCGAACTAAGCATTTTGCAGAGATGAGCTTTCCAACACCATGCCGGGCTGTACAATGCCAGAACAAACGATGGGTTGATATTCACGCATGCACATAATGCAGGCGGCACATGTGACAGGGCGACATGAGGACGCCGGAATGGATGCTTGGCATGACCAATGCACGTTGCTTGAGGCAGCGTGACAACGTCTCTATGCCAGCCAGGAGTTGAACAGCCTTAGCAGTCTTCCAAAGCTGCATGTTGATTCATGTCCAACTCCTTGGCATGCTCTCCCACACGCACCCCAACATTTTTGAGGGGCAGTGTTCAAAGCTGCCTCACGAGGGGCCTTGGCCTCAAACACTTAGACAAAACTTTGCAAGTCAACAGCAGCCACGAAGTATGAAGGTCCAATAAGAAAGTGTTGGCGTAGTTGGTTTGAAGCGCAGCGAGCGAAGCTGAGACGGCTGCCAGCTTGGCTTGCTGGGAGAAAGCAGGCGAACTTGCACGGAGAGGGCCATCAAGTTTTCCCTGTTGGGCAAGTTTGCCAGAAGTGCTAGCGATCGCTCTGTGCCAGCACTTTTGCAGTGACCTCTGTCTCTAACACAGGTACTGGATTCTGTACACTTAATTAATCATGCACACTGTGCACACAAGCATTGATGCTAAGATTTGCAAAGCATGGTTGATGCTAGCGGCAATAAATATTCGGTTACTGAATTGCTACAAGCTGGGGGGCCAATGCCCTGGCGATGGTGTTGCTGATGCCCGTGACGAGTTCAGTCACTCCCGCCATCCACTTCAAGAATAGCCTGGCCCATGCCAGTGGTGCACTGATCCTCTTCTCTGCGCTCCAGGCATCACGAGGGGCTTCTGCGAACATCTATGTCTATGCGCCCACACGTGTGTCATTCGGTAGACTATCGGAATCTCGGCAAGCTGCGCTGCTTCTTTACCTTCTCTACGGCTCTGTAATGCCCAACTCTCTGTCGACGCATTTTCACGGTCCGACAGCGCCTGGGAGGGTCGACGGTGCGCACGTCGAAGCCGCAGCGCGACCCCAAACCCAGCGCCGCGAAGGCCTCGCTGGGTTTCTGTAAATACACCTTCAGCGAGAAGCTGCCTCCGGAGGATCGTCCACGTCCACACCCCCTTTTAAGAATGCGCCACGAGATCTTCCCGTTTCTCAACTGCCCAACTCTCCCGGATTGACTGTGGACGAACCTGCAAATACTGCAGCCCAGAACCACAACGTCGAAGAAACCGAAAAACCGAATGGAAGCCACCAAAGGCGCTCAAGTTTCCCTCCAGTAGAACTTTACCTCAAACCCTAAAATCAGCTGCCTCACGCAAGCGGCCCTTTGTAGCGGCAAGGATCGGTGGCTCCCAGGTGCCTTGAAGGGACATGCCAAGAAAGACTCACAAGAATACCGAAGCGGTGGTCTGGTCAAGACCGTCATGACCGGAATGCACAGGCAAAACTTGTGGATGGTCTGCTAGGTCACTAGGTTCCGTGGGTTTATGCCCTTCTCGTCCTAGAGCTTCCAGATGCCTGACGTGGGTCTGTGTATGTCCGCACAACATCATTGATGTGGTCTGATGGGGGTGCCACCCTTTCTGCTCACAATAAATACTTGCCATCCAACCTCTGCTGCCTCCCGAGCTTTTCGCAGGCTTAGGCACGCGTGACCAAAATTGCTCGGCCGACAGCGTACGCCACTACACGCGGCTTACACACGTCGCCTCGTTGCTAGGTGAGCCCATGCAACACAACATCGAAGCTGCTCCAACGACGACAGCTTCAAGATTACGGCGTCGTGCTACGACCCTGCTGCCCTGCGCTGCGGCAACCTGAGGTAACGGTGTCCAGCCATGCACACCCCGAAGCCACACACACACACACACACACACGCGGAGATAAGGAGTCCATCAGGACAGTTCCATTCCACTCCATCTCTAAATACGAGGTAGATCTTCGGGACCTTCCATAATCCTTAAACCTCTGAGTTCAACCTGTGGCAAACTGTCAGGATCAGACACAACTGAAGCAAACATGTTGAGTCTCACTGCTCCAATACACGATGGCAACAATCTACAGCGATGATTGTCACTCCGAGTTGATTGAAACGGCAGGTACGTGAGCTAGGCGCCCCCAGCTCATATCAGTGATCTGTAACAGCCTCTTCGTTGGACTGCCACTGCTACAGATCAGGCAGTCCCCCTGCCACAAGTCCTGTATTGTTCCAGAAACCCTTAGCTTAGAATCAGGGTGTACACACACACACACACACCCCTCCACAGATGGGATAAGCGTCCTGAGGCTCGCTTTTTCCTCCTTAGTATGGTCATCGTCGTCATCGTCGTCGTCGGAGAGAAAAGGGGAGAAGGCGAGAAAAGAAGACGATAGCTCGGCTGACAGACGACCAGAAAGGGGAAAGAGGGGAGAGAGAGCGAGAAAAGATGACGATAGCTCGGCTGACAGACTGAGAAGACAAGCGGGCCTTAGTCCCTGAAGGCAGTACTCACGGCTCCTTCTCTCTGCACCACACTCAAAACAAGCCAAGATGCTGCCAGGACCACTCTATTCGATGACTTTCCATCGTCACTCAAAGGCTGCTAGAGCCACTAAAGGACCGTTTAGGCCACGTAAGCCCATCACCTGACCAATCGGGGCACCATTGTTCCGATTGCTCTCTAGGAGCACTTAGACCCATCACCTGACAAAAAGGGTCACTCTTTACAATGCCTTTGCACTATTGACCTGTCCCGAAGGAGTACGGCCTGTTATGGTACCATCTTGGGTCGCACAACGTACCCTGGCAGTCCGCAGGAGCGGTTGTTGCCGTTGGAGACAAGGCCGTACACGGAGATAAGGAGTCCATCAGGACAGTTCCATTCCACTCCATCTCTAAATACGAGGTAGATCTTCGGGACCTTCCATAATCCTTAAACCTCTGAGTTCAACCTGTGGCAAACTGTCAGGATCAGACACAACTGAAGCAAACATGTTGAGTCTCACTGCTCCAATACACGATGGCAACAATCTACAGCGATGATTGTCACTCCGAGTTGATTGAAACGGCAGGTACGTGAGCTAGGCGTCCCCAGCTCATATCAGTGATCTGTAACAGCCTCTTCGTTGGACTGCCACTGCTACAGATCAGGCAGTCCCCCTGCCACAAATCCTGTATTGTTCCAGAAACCCTTAGCTTAGAATCAGGGTGTACACACACACACACACACACTCACCAATCAATGATTTCCCAGCAGTAGCTGTGGTAACGGAAACTCACGAGGTCGATGCTCTCATTTCGCAAGTGTGCCTCAATCCTCTCGCACTACACCTTTCGATCAGCTCTGGCATGTGTACCCAACGGTAAGTTTCAGATCTTAGAGTTTCAACATCTGCCAAGCACTTCCTCACCTTCTCGCCAGAATCAAGTCTGGATTTGCTTCCAACCGAAATCACCTGCCTGTCCAGAACAGCAGTTGGCTTCCAGGCACCTTTCGACAAGCAGGCTGTGCACTTAACCTACCTCAACAACAACTTTGTTCATCTCATCGTCCATCCCTACAGGCTCGGCGACTCCCATCAAAACAACAAAGTAAACTGTTTCTGCTTATTGATACTGTAGTCTCCAAATCCTCAGCTCGTCTCAGAGAACATATCGCCTGGGACAGCAGCGCAACCAAAGGCTCCAGGTTTTTGGAGGCGGCGCGCGCCGCCACAGCAAAGACGATCCCGCCTTTCGCCGACCGGCGGTGCCGTCTGGCAGAGAGTGCATTTGGAATGCCTTTGGAAGCCGTGAGCATGCGATTCTCGTTCTTGTTCATTGTTGAAAATTCGACCACAGACATGTCGAGCAAGACAGTTCGAGACTTTGCAGCTGGCAAATCCTAGCAAAACACCCAAACTACTTCTTGTACTGCCAACATGTGCCAGCCCCTTTTCCGGCCTGAAAAGCTCCGCCATTGCCTTGCAGTCGGCCTGGCGTACCATGATAGGAGAGTCTCAGATGCTTCGGTTCAACCAGAGGTGATAAGGCTGTTTCGCTCATAGAAGGTGCGATGCCGGCCTCTGTGTAGGATTCCAGACCCACGGGATTCGCTTTCCAGCCGAGGCTCAGGTGCGCGCCTTCCGCAGTTTCATCTCGACGAGTCGTTACTTCAGTTCTTGGGACTTGCACCTGCCCTAAACTTCAGGCGCACAAGACAAATGCCTGGGCAGTGGCGTTGCGCGGCTTCGAAGAAGGCGTCGGCAGGAACAGCGCAACGCCAACCCCGAAGTCCTGGGCCCGGAAGTACCTGAGAGGTTCACCGAGCAAGGAAGACGAGGACTCCCTGTTCAGGCAGGCACGGGCAGAGAACTAGGCTCCCAACATCTGCATTCAGCCACACGGCCTGAGCCAACCAAACCGCGGAAATATGGGCATGCACTTCTGTGGGTGTTTTCGGCCGGAGCTGTTTGGCCTGGCCTGGCCATTCGCAGCCAGCTTCTCGCTGTGCTCTGCCAGCAGCGGCAAGCAGAGCTGCACAGCCTCCAGGTCCTGCCAACCAGCCGCGGAGCGCTTCATCCGCATGAAGCCCAGCGAAGTACACAAATGACGGCATATGATCATATGCATGCATTCGCCACCATGGGCCTTGAAGTCGAACTTAACATGACGTCGGCCGTCACGAATGACTTCATCAAGAAATGTCTCGAAGGAAAGGTCGGAAGTGAGGACAGGCCTCGGGGCACTGCATGAGGCAGCTCGCAAGCTCGCAATGACACATGGCCCACCCCGACCCGACTCAAACAAACTGCCCCAAACCGGGCTCGTACAACAAAAAAACACGTCGTTATCTCAAACCTGCTGTTGAACACGCGGCAGCTGAGTCCTGCACGGGTGCGCCATGACAGGGACGAGAGCGGTTCCGCTTCCGCTCGGTCCTGTCAGCGGATCATGCACGACTTGAGCATGTGCTACACACTTGTATAGCAAACCAAGAACGTGGAGCCAGCTTGGAAAATTATTTTCTGCAATTCGCTGGATCGCAAGGAGTTATTAAACCCGTGGCGAATTCGAGTGAGCCTGTTAAGTATCCCATAGCGACGTCGACCTCGATAGCGGTGATCTTCGGGTCCTGGCAGCACATGCACACAAGCCCCGAGCTCTAAATCCGTCTTCAACATTGTTCTGATGTCTTGCGTCCTTCAGTGCAGCTTCCAACTTGGCTCGTGTGACGCATGAATGGGCCCAGACCTGGTCTTAGGCGAAACCAAACACGCGATGGTGCTTGCTGCAACCTTCAGCCATTTCAGCCGGGCCTGCCTGCTGCGGCGAAGGCATAGGTGCCCATCGCATGCCACGTTGACGCGGCCGGCGTTTTGCTTCCACCACCTGATATTTTGGGAAGTCAAACCCTGCGTGTGTAACCGCAATGCCAAAAGGCCGCGGACCACTCGTGGGGGAGGTGGCCGTTCTGGGACTAGTACCTGGGAAGAGCCAGCCTCTGAGCAAAGCCAACAGTCCGAAGCCAAGATTTTAGGCCCCAGCAGGTGTTGAACGCCACTCAACAGGCAGCGTGCCTGCCTTCGATGGCCCAAGGGTACAGCCAACCAGACAAAGGCCTGCAGCAAGGTGCAACCGAAGGTGCATGCCATCTTCTTCTGCAAATCCTTTTTGTTCGTTGCAAAGGACTGCACAGCGCACCCACCGTCTCTCCACGCGCCTCTTCATCTCCGATGTATTTCTGTCATCAGAATCAAAGCGATTTGGATCCCCCTGATGAACCGAGTCAGGAAGCTCTGGCACGGAACTCTTCCCTGTCAGCGACACAGTCACCCTCCCGTGAGCTTGAAACAAACATCCGTCCTCCGATTGTCGAGAAAAGATCTGTGGTTTACAGTCTCTCTAGAAGGCGCCGCGGGATCCGTCCACCAGACACTATACCCCCCCTAGAGCCATAATATAAATCTGTTTTTAATAGCCTCTTGGGTTTTATATTAACAAACATAAAAACAATAATTCCCAAGGAGACTCTAGGACAGGTCAGCTGATATTGTACGGAGGCATCATCGTGGGTGAAAGGATTGGTTTCCCTCACTTCCAGGCTTGTTGGTCTATTGGCTGTGGCGGCTCTGGGTGAGTTCAGCCACAGTCTTAAACCTCAATTTGATGTAGGGGATTTCCCTCTCTCTCTCTCTCTCTCTCTCTCTCTCTCTCTTCTTCCGCCGGGCATGAGGGCTCTCTCTCTCTCTCTCGTTCTCTCGCTCCCTCTCCCACGTGACGGTGGGCATTGAAGGCACGGCTGCCTGCCGCGGCGGTCAGCTTCTGGCGGGCGCTCCGCGGACCCGACCGCTGCGACAAGCTCATGGCTGTGAAGAGACCCCCCAATTTTGACGAAGCACCTCGTGAGAGATTCACAACAGTATACGCATATGGGTGGCGACAAGAATGATCTTCATGTCTGTCAGCCTGAGTAAGCCGCCAATGCTGACAGCGCAACAGTCACATACCACTGCACCCCCAAACTGCTGCAAACTGTGTGGATGCCGGACAGACTGACTAGATGGCAATGATCAGTCTCAATATCATAATATCTTAAGTTAGTTGCTAGACTCCGGGCACACAGGGTATGCTTGCAAGCGCCTTGGCGCGTGGATCTGTAGGTGGCAAGGGTAAGACCTGCACACTCTGAGAGCTTCGCATGATTGGTGAGAATCCAGTAGATCTTTCGCGAAACCGGATAGAGCCACACTAGGGCCCAACTCTGAGCTGCTTTTGCAAGGCAATCTAGCATAGCATAAATTCCAGTGTTCGCTGTGAAAGTGGGCCCCTGCTTTGCAGGATGAGCAAGCATGCACTGCCACCAGCCAAGAAGCTATGGCCCTGAATCATGGATCCGTTTGCAGCGTGCTAAGCCTGCTAGAGAGTAGATTCTGTGCAACCTCTACGGCTAGAAGCGTGGGCCACATTTGCCGGCACGGAGGAGACGGCGGTTGCAAAATGGCGGGGGCCCACGCATGGCAAGCCCCTCGCCGGCTGATCTTGGGCCATTTCGCCCACGATGCCATTTTGTGGAAGCTGTAGCCACGGAGTCATCTGCTACGTGGAGCGTCTTTGGATCCATTGCTGCAATCGGCTTCTTTGGCGTCATTGCAGACTGGCAGTCATAGGCTGCCAGGGGCAGAGACAGTCTTGTTTCCTCCGCCTGCAGGGGAAACAAATTTTATGTTCGAAGAGGAGGAGGAGGAGGAGGAGGAGGAGGAGGAGGAGGAGGAGGAGGAGTAGGACTCGGAGTGGGGGTGGGAGTCGGGGTCCGAGTAGGAGTGGGAGCGGGAGCAGGAGTAGGAGGGGAGTGGGCGGAGGAGTAGGACTGGAAGGAGTAGGTGGGAGAGGGAGTGGGAATGGGAGAGGTAGTGGCTGTGGCAGTGACAGTCGAAGCAGTAGTAGGAGCAGTAGTAGTCGTCGTCGTATAGTAGTCGCAAAAGTCGCCGTCGCCGTCGCAGTCGCAGTCGCAGTAGCAGTAGCAGTAGTAGTAGTAGTAGTAGTAGTAGTAGTAGCAGCAGTAGTAGTAGTAGTCGTCGTCGTGGTAGTAGTAGTAGTAGTAGTAGTAGTAGTAGTAGTAGTAGTAGTAGTAGTAGTAGTAGTAGTAGTAGTAGTACTAGTAGTAGTACTAGTAGTAGTAGTAGTAGTACTAGTAGTAGTAGTAGTAGTAGTAGTAGTAGTAGTAGTAGTAGTAGTAGTAGTAGTAGTAGTAGTAGTAGTAGTAGTAGTAGTAGTAGTAGTGTATATAAATATATATATATATATATATATATATATATAGTTGAAGTCGTAGTTGTAGTTGTAGTAGTGCTGGTAGCAGCGGTAGCGGTAGCAGAAGCCGGTTCGGCAGCAGTGGCAGCAGCAGAGCAGCAACAGTAGCAGTAGCAGTAAAGAAGCAGCATCAGCAGGAGCAGGAGGAGCAGGAGCAGGAGTGGCTGCAGGAGTAGGAGCAGGAGAAGGACAAGGAAGCTGCAGCTGTGGCAGTAGCAGCAGCCGCAGCAGCCTCTTTTCTACCCCTAAAGCCCTGAAATGTATTTGGGAGCCTTCAACAAGTAGAACAAGGCTCGTAGGGCAGATTGGTTTGCCAGAGTGATAATTCTGGAAGGAATCCTACAGAATGCTGTTGAAGAAAGGCTCCACCTGCAGGTTAGCATCGCCAAAGGTCTCTCCGGACAGGGCGGACGGCGACCGTGTGTCCGGGGTCTGCGGGCGAACTCCCACGCCCAGGTCGCTGTTGTAGCTGCACACCTTGTTCAGGGTTCAGTCTTCTGGCTTTCTCCTTATAGTTTTAGCAGATTATGGACACTGCATCCGCTGGCTCTAGGTCTGCGTTCAGGAGATGTACTATGGTGTCCCAGCCACCTCACGCTTCTCAATCGGCAGCTGGAGAGCCATCGCGGGCAGTTCTTCCTGCCAGGGCATGCGTTGTCGGAAAAGTCTTCTTCCAACCGGAAGGCCAAAGACGGCATGAACAGTCGCTTTAGCTGTGGCAGAATTAGACAAGTCGTCGACGCCGCCGTTGCGGTGGCGAAGGTGATGGTGCCATGATTAATCCGCCGAGGCCAAAGGCCTCTGGCGTCTTGATGGTTAATAGCAACCAACCCTCTGCCTAATCCTTCTCCCTGCAGCCCAAATGCAAACTTCCAACCCGCTTTTAGCGACTGTTTTCGACCCCCTGCCCGGCTCGTCCTTTTTGCTGCCGAATTTGCCTCCCCCCCTCCTGCCCCCTCCCCCCCCCTGCACCCCCCCCTGCCCCACCCCCCCCCCCCCTCCCTCCCCCCCCCTCCGGCCCGTCCTCCCCTCTGCCCTCCTCGCTCGTTTTCCTTTTTTGGTTCCCCACCCTTCCGTCTTGTCCTGCCCTCGCGTGTTTTTTCGATTGCCTGCTCGTTTTCTTTCACCTTTTCTTCTCTTTCGGCCTGCCCCCGGCTCCACTGTCTTTTCTTCTTATGTTTCGTTTGCGTGCTTCTTTCCTGCTTCCTCGTTGAAGCTCTCGTTTTGCTGTTTTGTTGCCCCTCGCCCCCCCCCCCAGCCCTCCTCCCTCTCCGCCCCCCCGGCCCCTTTTCCCACCCTTCCGTCTTGTCTGCACTTCTTTTGGCTTGTTTTCCTTCCTTCCCGCCCTCCCCCTCTTGCTGGCCCCCCCTTCCTCCTCCGGCCGGCCAGTCCACCCTTCCGTGTTGTCCTGCCCTCGCGTGTTTTTTCGACCTTTTCTCCTCTTTCGGCCTGCCCCCCACCGAGCCGGCTCTATGCCTTTTCTTCTTATGTTTCCTTTGCGTGCTTTGGCTCTCCTGCTTCCTTTTTGAAGCTTCGTCGTTTTGCTGTTTTGTTGCCCCTCGCCCCCGCCCCTGCTCAGCCCCTCCTCCCTCCGGGCCCCCCCCCCGTCTTGTCCTGCCCCCCCTCCCCCCTTCCTCCCCCCCCCCTTGCTGGCCCCCCCTTGCTGGCCCCCCCTTCCTCCTCCGGCCCCCCCTTCCTCCTCCGGTTTCCCCTCGTTGTTTGTTTTATCCTGCTCGTGTTCTTTCCTCTTTTCTTCTCTTCCGGCCTGCCGCCCCCCGGGCCGGCTCCACTGCCTTTTCTTCTTATGTTTCGTTCGCATGCTTTGGCTTTTTCGGCCTGCCCCCCCCCCGGCTCCACTGCCTTTTCTTCTTATGTTTCGTTCGCGTGCTTTGCTCTACACTTGCCACACTTCTCCAAGTAGCCCTGACCCTGCAACTAAATTACACCTGCCTTGAGAGGCCCTTCGCAGTTTGGCCCCTGCTCTGCGCCCCTGCTGGCCCTACTGCAGCCGGCGGCCGAGGTGCGTAGCATTAGAATTACGACGACTTTGAGTTTGGCCGGCAGGGTCACTACCATGGCGCTTACCTTTGTGTTGACCATCTCACTACGGTCGATGTGTCTGCTGCTGTCTCTCTCTTTTCGGGCAAGTGTCGTCGTCCTGGTTCAGCTTTTCTGAGCCGATGGGGGCTGTCACGAAGGACTGCACGGGAGCTGGCACGTAGGACTGCACGGGATCTGGCACGTAGGACTGCACGGGATCTGGCACGTGCGAGCCGATGGGGGCTGGCACGAAGGACTGCACGGGAGCTGGCCTCAGGCAGCCATGGAAGAATCTGTTATGTGTAACTCAGCTTGAACTAACTACCTACCCTCCATCCGCATGTCACATCACTACGCTGTCCTGTCTTGCTGCTTCAAAACGCATAGAACTGTTCTCTGCAGTTCTTGACGAGCAGCAGACCCGGAAGACCGATATTGGAAGTTGTGCGTTGCATCGGGTTCCTTGATAGCGGTGGCTCATTGGCTGCCGCGACAGGGCCCGCTGCCTCCTTCGGGTCAATTCGTGATGCCATCGAGCGGCACAGGACGTCAGCTCAGGACGCTAGCTACTCAGGAATTGTTTCTGCTACTTTCTCTTATTGGGCAAGTGTTGTTCTCCTGCTCCACGACCTGGCCACCCGTCGGAGACACTGGAGGCAAGTGCGAGTGGACAGGCCTCAGGCAACCACAGACAAATCTGCTTTGTGTAACTATGCGACTATGCTTGTACTACACTGAATTTGCATGTTACATCACTGCGTCGTCCTGTCTTGCTGCTTCGACGGTGTAGAACTGTTCTCCTGGGTCGAGCATTTTTTGTAAGCCGCCGAGGAACGAGGAGCTGGCTGCTGGCCTGCCAAGAGAATACTTACATACCCGATCAACTGACTGGTTCACCTTCTTGCTGGCTGATTCCACGCTGGCTGGCACGCCGGTTCCTGGTGAATTGCTGTGTCGGACTGTCAGCCAAGGTGGCAAGTTGGCTGGTCACGTGTTTTTCTGTGAAACAATATGCTGGCATAGCCACTACTCCACAAGTTACCCAGCTGGTCTGTCATGCAGCTGGTCGTAAGTTTCTTGGGGGTATTTCTGTTTCACTGTTCCCCGTGCGGCCCGTGCCTGCTTGACCTGTGCCAGCAGTAACGGAGGACGGCGTAGGGCAGGGCGGGGCCGCTCCTGTACAGCCTCAGTGTCACAATTCTGGGCACCGTAAAACAGCATTGCACTTCAACTTCGATTGTGTTGCAGGTACCTCTGTATTGTTCAACTTCGAACTTTGTTTCCAGGCGTTGAGGCATCCATGCATTTGCAACCGAAGTTCTCCTGCGCAGTCAGCATGTCACAGCAAGCCAGCCTTGCGGCGGCATGAGTCACGGGGTCGTCATTTCAACTAGTGAAGAAAACCCAAGTGGATGGGGGAACAAGTCGAAGCCATCGAGGCCCGGACTGCGTCGCCAAGTCGAAACAAAGCGCTGCCTCGACGGCATACAGCGGCGCCACGGCCTTCGCAGGACTTTGCGACCAGTTTGCAGCTGGCTGTGGTGGTGGTTGCGGTCGCCGTAGTGGTAGGGTCGTGGTCGTGGCAGTGGTGGTGGTTGTGGAAGTAGCAGTCGTCGTTGTAATAGGTATAGGTAGTAGTAGTAGTAGTAGTAGTAGTAGTAGTAGTAATAGTAGTAGTAGTAATAATAGTAGTAGCCGAAGTAGTAGTAGTAGTAGTAGTAGTAGTAGTAGCCGCCACGGCTCAGACGTTTTGGAAGTTTCGCGCTGGCTTTCGAACAGGCTCTGGATTCCAACCTTGCGTTGCTAGAGGTCTCAAACGGGCCCCTCTCTGAACGACTAAGGGTTGGTTTCTCACGCTGAGCCATGTGCCATGTGCCAACAGTTTGCGTCTGAGCCGCCAGGTCCCAATTCCTGGACCCAGTACCCTGTCTTAACACGGGCCCACTGGGCAGGCGGTAGGGTTTCCACTAACCGCGTGGTGGAGGGAGTCACTCGGCTTGCCTTGTGACGAAATAGCGGATGGCGCTGCTCCCAGTGCACTCACAAAATTATTCTCAGATCAGGAAGAATTCGTTCAAGCATGTTTGCAGGAAGGTGGTTGCAAGCCGGCAACCCGTTTCTTACCGAGGTCAGGTCATGACCCCTGCTCTCCTCAGGCGCATGGGCAACTGCCCACCGCGGCCAGGTTCCACCCAGTCTTTTGCACCACGGTCTAGAGCAGGACAGGCCACCAGGCCCCTCCGTGTACTGTCTTGGAATGCAGGCCACCTTGGCCAGCAGCAATGGTCGGAAGTCAAATCATGGCTTTCCACTGAGGCACGCCACACCTGTGATGTTCTTGTGCTGCAGGAGACCCACTGGCAGGCTACGGCTGAATTTAGTGTTTCAGGCTGGTACTGCATCTCGTCTGCCTCTGCTGCAGATCCGAAAGCCTCTAGACGTAAACAACGCGGGGGCAAGGCCCACATACAGCCACCTGCAGAGGCAATGCCTAATGACGACAAGACCCATCCGCCCCGCAAGGAACCCTCGACCACACGCGCGGACGGAGTAATGGTCTTTCTGTCCTCACACATACAACCTAAAGGTGTGAGATGGCAGGAACATGTCATAGGCAGAACCCTGGAGGTCAGGTTTGACTGGCACGGGGCCCGCATCCACCTGATTGCTGTATACCAACATGTTTGGTCACCGGCCAAACAGGTGCAGAACAATCGTCAGGACAGGGCACAGGTCCTCAAAGCTCTTGGCAGATGTGTGCAAAGGGTGCCACACCGAGACACGCTTATCATCGCAGGTGATTTTAATAGCTCCTTGCAAAAGCAGCCTAGGCTGGTAGGTCCAGAGCTCATAAGCCCACAGGAACCGCGACCTGATGAACCAGAGCTCACCAACTTCCTGTTGAGTCACCGCTTGGTGGCCCTCAACACGTGGCGACCTCAGCCATCATTTACGTACCAACAGGGGGACACACGCACACAAATTGATTTTGTGCTTACGCGAGAGGTGTCAGCCGGAGGCACTGCCAAGGCCTCCACGCCACTGGCGGCTTTTCCGCTGGGCAGCTGGAAGAAAAGCGGGCACCTGCCCATCAGTGCGACTGTCAAGCCAGTACGTCACTGGAATCTGCCGCCTCCTCAGATACAGACACATCAGTTTGACGCTGCTGCCCTGCAAGCGGCTGTGAGGGACAACACGCTGCCAGCTCAGCAAATGCTGGAGTGGGTTACAACCCGTCTTACTCCGGACATGCAGCCGGCGTCATGGGATCGCCTTCTTGGCGAAGCCTCCTCCAGGTTTTTCCCTAAGACCCCGGTGGCAATGCCAGAAAGTCCGGAGACGTGCATTGCCAGAAGAATGTGGCGCTCTGCACGAGGGAGCAATGCTCACACCAGTGCTGCATCAGCCACAGACGCAGCTGCCCGTCAACTGCTATACGACCAGCACAAACTGGCGGTCAAGCAGTCTCGCAAAGATCAAACCAAGCGGTTCCTTGCCGAGGTGGACCAGGCTCTCAATCAGGGAGACCAACACCTAGCATACCAAACTCTCAAGCATCTTCGCCCGTGGAAACCGGCTCTGAAGGCTCAGCTCAAGGATTCGAACGGTTTCCTACTCAGCCCTGCAAACGAACTTGCAGAGTTGGGCAAGTACGCCACCAAGGTCTTTGCAGCGCACCCTCCGCTTCCTTCGGACGCGGGACTTCTGCCCCTACTGCCGCAGACCAAGTTGGCGAAACACATAGCTTCGATAAAACCTGGAAAGGCAGTTCCGAAAGGAGCAGCACCAGCCGCAGCCTGGAAGCTCTGCGCACAGCCGGTATCCGAGGCGCTCTCACATTACTGTTCTGCTCTGACACAGGACCAGCCACTAGACGATGATCTGACACGAGCGGATCTCTGCTTAATCCCCAAACCGGGCAAGCCGGCTGACAAGCCTTCCCAGCTAAGACCGCTGGGAATACTCCGGCCGGATGCTAAAGGCCTGGCGGGAACGGCTAAGGAACTCCTGGAACCTCTCACGCTGCCATACATGAAGCCTCTCCCTCAGTTTGCATACCTCCCGGGCCGGGGTCTCTCCGACGCTCAGAGTCGAGTGGTACAGCACCTGAGAGAGGCTCGGCAACTGTGTCGCACTGCGAACCTTACCAGAGCGGATCAGCAGCGGGGACAATGTCCTGTCGGTCTAGTAGGCGGCATTACCTTTGCACTAGACCTATCACAGGCATTCGACACTGTATCCCGCAGCGAAATCTTGTCTCTGCTTGATGAACTAGGCGCAGATCCCTCCCTACAAAAACTGATACATGGCCTGCATCATCGATCCAAGTACAGGCTCCATTCACAAGGGGCGCACCAGGATGTGGAAACCACCACAGGCATCAAACAAGGCTGCAAGCTGGCCCCTACATTGTTTTCCGTTCTAACAGGCCGTCTTCTGCACAGGCTGATAGACACATTTGGCTGGGACAATGTCCGCAGATACTTCACTGGGTATGCCGATGACTTTACCATGCATCGCACAATCCGTAGCAAAGCGGACGTGGACGCAGCTCACAAAATGATCCTACAGCTTTTGTCGGAGGTAGAGAAACTAGGCCTGCGAGTCAATCCAACCAAATGTGCCATTCTAGTCAAACTCAGTGGCAGAGAGGCAGAGGCCACGCTCCAGAAGCACACCTGTTGGCTTCCCGACCAAGACGGCAAACTCCAGCGTCACTGGCGACTGGGCAAACACAAGTCCTTCCCCGCCTACAAACTTGAAACACAAATCAAGTACCTGGGCATTCAAATCTCTTATGGGAATTTCGAAATGCAAACGCTGCGCTTCCGCATAGCGGAAGCTGCCAAAAAGCTCCAGCAGGTCAAGCGATTTGTTTACAACCGCAGAACTGCAGGGCCAATGGCCAGGTTGAAGGTTTGGTTCACCACCGTATGGGCCACTCTGGTCACAGGACTTCCTGAAGTCGGCCTCACGGAGGAAACAGCCCGGCATCTCCGAGGTTGGACAAGCTACGCTCCGTACTTAACCAGCCTGTCCATGTCAGCCGCATCTCCACAGCGGACCTATATCAGCTGCATTCGATTCAAGACCCGGTGGCAAAAATCCGAGCTCGGATGGCTTCGCGACTAAAAAGACTGAGCAAAAGACCCGACATCCCTACCCCCGCAGCTGACCTTTCCGTCCCGCGGATGACTACTTCCAGTGCACCAACGGTGCAGCGGGGCCCGTGGGCCAGACTGCGTCCTGACGCGCCGGCCTCGGTCACAGGCTCGAACACTACCGACATGGCAGTGTACGGTGATGTCACGTGTCTGGGACATGTCCTACAGGACTTACAGGACATACTACGCGAGGTGGACAATCTTCCGGCGAGCACCGAGGCCTCGCAGCAGCGGTTGCATGACTGTCCTCACTGTACGTCTGGCTTTGTCTCTGCGCATGGTCTACATATGCACATCACAAGGATGCATCGTGATCAAGTAAAGAGGTACATTCCTCCTTCCTTTGATCGTAGTCGGCATTCCAGGGA